AGTGTTAGCAAAATTTTTCGTAGAATATGATGCCGGGTGGTAATCAGTCCGCTGTTGGGGCGTGTTCGAGATATTCGAGGTCAAGGTCAAATGGGGTCATTTGCACTGAAAGTGAATGCGCAGCCATTCTTGTATCATGAAAATATGCTAAAAGGATCGAAAGTAATCAACCTTTCAATAAAAATGTAAACTTGCTAAATTCATCTTTGCTCTTAGTGAACCCAGAGGTCAAAAGGTCAAATTTTCCGTTTTTGCACTAAGAAGATTTAAAGCAATAAAATGTCAGCGTAAAATATAAAATCTATTTTCATGATACAAGTGAAAACGTGTATCCGTTTGCTGAATAATTGTAAGTAGTTATGGATTTGGGGTGTATATTATATTTGGAAAGATTAAATATATATTAAATGCTTATTATGTACGACAACTTTTTGAAATAAAATTTAAATTTTACTTTGATTTTGTATCTGTTCTTTGTTGTAAATTTTTATTAAGGAGCTCATTTCATGAAAACAAAACGATTAGTCCTATTAATGAAGTGTTCTTTAATTAAGAAAGTAATTTCAATGATTAATTTTAAAATGGTTCATTCAACAATGTTTTAAAGTTTTTACTGGCCTGCCAGCAATCAAAAATTTAATATAACAAGAGATGGAAAACGTTTCATATCCCACACCATATACTTGTCTATGCCTACTACAGTGAATAATAAGAACAGATCTGATTCTGATTTAATATTTAATTTCATTTATTTATTTACTCAAGTGCAGTTTACGAAAGTTATCCGAAATATGAAACACCAGTACCTTACCATAACTCCCCCAGGAAACTGTAATTTACTGACTTCACACAGGCCCATGGAAATGGTATTTAAACAAAAAATGTGACAGCAAAAAAAAATAAGTGAAATGAGATGGGATTTAACGTCCTAATTTTCTGCTCCTAATGAAGACCGCTATACGGCATACAGTGTGCTATGGGGGGAAATTTTGCCCCGGCAGCGGCACTGTGACCTACTCTTATATCGAATTCCAACTACCCGGGGATCTTTTACGTACACGCCAATGTATACACGGGTCCTCGGGATTTCGTACCATCCAAACAACTAAACAGTTGTCCTTGACAGGTCCCCCGTTCTAAAAAAAATAAGATGCCGCATGAATATGCCTATACAATTATACATTCTGACAGTCAGCACGCGTGACCCTGATTTAATTTAAACTTGTGTTAGCCCAAGTCACATTCGGTATTTATCCAAAAGTACATTAACATTAAATTAAATTTATTCTAAATATGTTCAATCTAGATGTAGGCCTATTTTGTGTGAAGTTTATAATCAATATGACTATATAGGCTACGTGCATTAACATTGGCTAGTCTACAATTAAAACCGAATTGAAATATATGTGGGTATATAATGTCCCAGAAACTTCGTTTGTAAGAATGATTAACGGTAATTTTAATAATGGGTGGCACCGATGTCCTTTGACCGTTTACCGTTTACCTCAAGAACTCAAGATGCAAAACACAAAAGACAAATGTCATTTTGCAAAGTTGCTTTGTTGAAGTGTTTATGTGAAAAGGTTGTGCACATTAGTGGATTTTTTCCAAAAAACATTTGTAATTTGACATTTGACTTTTACTTTAACGGTATTATGTATTTATCATTATAAGTATAACGACATATGTATTTTGCATCTTAGGTATTAGGTATTTTCTATGATGTATAATAACACTTTCAACATACATTTAGTTTTGGCCCTTAAATCCCGCCATAAAATAATACCCATGAAATGTTAACTTAACCTATTAGGAGGTTTAAATGCTCTTGCGACTATCTCTTATTCAAAGGGTTTATGTTTGTAAATTTATCTATAATCCCCTTAACATGTTTAATTTAGTTTCAAGTAAACTGGTTTTCGTTATATACGACAGAAGACATACGGTCAGTATTCTTACTGTGTCAGTCTTTAATAAACGTTTGAACCTCCATCAGCGTATATAATTTATTTGGAACTCTATATTATTTTTAGGTGAGTTAATATTTCGTATTAGTAATAATTTGTATGTATTATTCTTTTGTTATTAAGGTTACTATCTTTATATTTCGCATAGTATGTGAAATGTTATATTGAGAATTACATTGATATATGCAATTTCAAACATAGTTATACGCATACGTTTAATATCAAACGTCGCATACATTATGTTATATTAATTCGAACAATGCCAGACGTAAGGCAAAGATATGCTTATTCTTTTGCTAAAGACATTAAATATATTTCGAATCGTAATATTGTAATTATGATGTATAATGAATGTATTCTGAACCGTATTATAATAACTTGTCTTATCATTTATTATTCATGCATATTGTTTAAATATTATGTATTCATTATATATGATTCTGACTGTGTCCGTCTTTAATAAACGTTTGAACCTTCATGTTACAGTATTTCTTTCTATCAGGTTCAGGATAACAAGACTAGTTTAACATCTTAAAATACTTTTATTCTCTGCTTCTTACATATCACGTACAAACATCGTAATGTTAAAGACAACCAGAACTAACTTGTATTGAGGGAGCCATGTCCTAGCTTGGCTAGGCACGAGTATGCTAACTCCAAGACACTCTCCCTCGTTCCGTCTTGTCTCGTGCCAAGGCGCCCATGGACGGACCCCATCATCGATTAGTTTGTTATCTGGGTTTATAAACCCATCCTAACAAATGATCTTATTAGGCATCTGGCTAATGTATCATGCATCATATCAGGTTTAACATTCGATACATGCTAATCAGACAAAGCAAGTTTAACTAAAACATGCAAACAACAAGTTAAGGGTACATAATGACATAAGGAGTACCACTAAGAACTCCAGGGGTCGGACAGGTTGATATGTTCATATTAAAATCACCACTTTCATATGTCAAGGTGGCAGGAAGCGTCCATAACATCTGTGATTATGTAACATTCATCAGCGTATATAATTTATTTGGAACTCTATATTATTTTTAGATCTCCCAGAAAATACTGTGAGAACGTGAAAGATCCCCGAACTAATAGTATACTGAGCTACACCCCAAAGTCATAACTACTAACAATTACTTAGCAAACGGATGCACGTTCTCAGTTGGTAGACGATGTCAAGATCATGAACAGTAGGCCTACCTCATCAAGCAGCAGAAGCAGTAAAGTACATACCAAAACAAATAGTATGACGGTGCTAACACAAAATCACTGGATGTTAGGGAAAAACCTACTGGAAGAAATAGACAAAATTATAGAAGTTATCACGCCTATAACCAGACGATAAAGCTATGCTGCATTGTGATATCCTTGAAATAAACTTTAATATCGACAAAGTAGAAGCTTATCTGAATTCACTATTCCAGGGGAAAATACAGATGAAATTCACAGAAAATAAAATTGATATTAACATTACCTAAGGAAACGTGCGTAACACCCCAACATCTAATTAAATCTTCAGACAATGAAAGTGTAATTGGGGATGATAAGTCTCTCCCTATACCCACGTGTATATTAAAGTGCTAGAAGTCTTAGTATGGATCCTACTTTTTCTTCACCCCGGACTTGTCATCTCACTATCTCTTTCAGTCATTTGAACTTACTTTGAATGGATACTAACAACGAAGAGGATTAGATGAATCAGCTGAACATGCTACACAAATTCTGGATCTTGCTACTTACTTTGCTGTTTCATCAACTAATGGGTATTATTCTAAATTTGATACCAATTTATTTTTCACAGTGTTATGGTACATTGTCCTGTTAAAGTTCCCTTGGAATCCATGTCTAGTCGTTCATGTGAGTTAGCACTTTTTAACAATCAGAAGCAATGAAATGAAATGAAATGAAATGGGATTTAACGTCCTGCTGTTTTGCTCCGAACTGGGCTAATGAAGACGGGCATACGCCATACAGTGTGCTATGAGGGGAATTTTGCCCGGACAGCGGCACTACGGCCTACTCTTATATCGAATTCCAACTGTCAAGGGATCTTTTACGTGCACGCCAATGTATACACGGGACCTCGGTTTTTCGTCTCATCCGAATGACTAGACAGTTCTCCTTGTCAGGCCCTCCGCCCTGCATCACTGACAAGGGGGAACCACGCCGGAAAATCTGGGTGAACTTTCTCGGCCAATGCAGGGATCGAACACCCGACCTCCAGGCTAGCGAGCCAGCGTCTTACCCACTTAGCCACCGTGACCCCCCAATCAGAAGCAAGGTGTGAAGCAGTATTGTAATTTTAGATTTTTACTTGCGAAACAAAGGTCAAGCTTATTGAGCTATCTCAAACAAATGTTGTGCTTGGAAATCGAGGTTCATTACAGAATATAATCTGTGAAATTTTGACCACCAAATAAATTGTTTGCCATTATTATTGCAGTGGTTGGTGTATTTTCTATATATAAGATTTATTTGATGTAGCCCGGCAGTAATCCCGTATTTATACCCATACTTTTTCTCGACTCTTTGTTGAAAATGGGAGGGTATACACCGATACACGGCCACTGTGTATCAGCTGAAAAGTGGCCGTGTATCAGTTGAAAAGGGACAAAAATAACAAAATCATGATTTACATATTTATTTGAACATCTACAACCCGTTTTAAACATGTCTTGGTAAAAGAATCATCATTTTCAGCTGTCTCAGCACTTTTCGAATGTGCGTCACTCTCAGTCATATTCTTACATTTTGTCTCACATTTCTTTACATTTTGATATCTAGTCGCACATTCACATTTTGTCGCATTTTCACATTTTGTCGCGGCATATGCTCATCCCCAGCACATAATCCAAATATTTTACTATTATAAATTAATCTCTTGGCATTTTCAACACTAAAAACGTTCACATTTTGTCGCGGTTTATGCTCATCCGCAGCACGTAATCCAAATCTATTACTACTGTGTGAACCATCGTAAATTTTAAACGGATTTCTTCGATCATGAACAAACTACTTAACTTTGGTTATTATAAACTTACCTGTGTGTTTGTAATGAACTCCCGTTCGATAAAATCCATTGCACAACTAATTATCACAACGATGAGAACAAGTTCTCTCTTGAAAAATTTGAAAATTTACTTGTAATTTCGACAGAGTCGATGTCAACAATGTCTTCGTGACGTATTGGTCGAATCCAATATACCTGTTGCGGGGGTTGGTTAACATTGAAAGATAGTTTGACAGCGCGATCATTTTGATCGTATATGGGTTTGGGCGACGAAAAATATCAATTGAAGGCAATTACATAGGAGATTTATATGGAAACCATTGATCGCCAGTCTATCAAATTTTCTTCACAATTAAAATATCACTGATTGCACGGATACTCGTAAAAATAAAGTCATGTATAAACTATAAATATCCTATCTTCTTTATGTTGTCTTTGAAAGGCATTTAGTGAAAGTGATATATAATAACAGATAGCTTTATGGATGACATTCACTAGGTTTATTAACTGCAACGTTTGAATGAGGTTACTCTCACCGTTATCGAGCAATGATACCACTAGGTTTATTAACTGCAACGTTTGAATGAGGTTACTCTCACCGTTATCGAGCAATGATACCACTAGGTTTATTAACTGCAACGTTTCAATGAGGTTACTCTCACCGTTATCAAGCAATAAATAAACCTAGTGAATGTCATCCATAAAGCTGTCTGTTATTATACTTCTTTATGTTATAAATAATTTAACAAGGATCATGAAGCTTACCTCCGAATTCTCTGAGTGTATTTTTAATTTTATACGCATTCTTTCGATCGAATAATAACCGCTTCAGTAACATATATAATGGTATATAATGCTACTAAGCCCCCCGCATGACCCCGTAAGAAGCGGAACATTAATTCTCGATTCGACAGTTTTGACCGAAGTGTGATAAAGCCCGTAAAACGAATGTATAGTTATGTTTGTGCGGCATGCGTGTTCAAAAGTAAATAATCCCATCCGAGTCGCTAATCAAATAATTAGAACAAAATATTTCAAAAAGTAAAGCTATAAAATTTGCAGAGATTTTACTAGAATGTAAAAGACGGTAACTAAATACAGGAATGCGGGTAGTTATGTGTGCGAACGCTCAAACTCAATGCCAATTGTCGTAGGTATCCAGACCACTCGGACTAAAGACTACTCGGACTAAGACCAGTCGGACCAAAACAAGACCAGTCGGACAAATTAAATTATATTATAAGGCTAGACAATATGCTATTTATTTATTATTAAATCACAATACAAAGAAGCAAATAATTCTTATACGGAATTCTTATATTTAGAGTTGTTTAGTTCAATTATGTGTACGGAAAATAAATCAACGATTAGTTTTAAAATTAATTAATAATGGTGCCAAAAAAAAAATCAATCTAATTTTTCTTATTTACTCTTGCAATGAGACTCGGTATGTCCAGACTTTTGACAGTTTCTACATATACGGGTATACTGTTCTTGTCTGATAGCCTAATTTTACTTTTTCCACATTCGCGGTATCCCCAGTGGTTTCATTCCGTTCTACCCCACTAACCCATGGGTTGCTATATATGGGGGGGGGGGGAGACACGTTTTCAAGTTATCCGCCCTTGATGCGTTAATATAAACAGCACATAATAATACGAAGACCGGACGTTTATATGTCCCTTTTTAAACGTGACTACAAGTGTGGTTCTCGATATTTTGCGATTTGGAATACAGTTATCAATTTATTCAAACAACACGTTATTATTAGTTCGAGTAGTCATATTAAAACACACACAATTAGCAATTTATTCAAATAACACTTTATTATTGGTTCGAGTAGTCATATTAAAATAAACACAATTATCAATTTATTAAAATAACACTTTATTATTGGTTCGAGTATTCATATTAAAGGCTCAATACCACTCTTGTTGTAACTGAATAATATGTCCCAATCTTTATTCTGGTCAACAAATTGTACTATTTTAGAATATTTCAATTAATTGATGATACAAATTTCATCTTAACACACCTTATTTAAAAATTTTGAAATATTCAACATAATGGTTTGAAACGTCTAACATAAACCTTTTCAAATGAAACTTCGATTTAAAAATATTTTCGAACCCTCTGGACAAGTAAAAATAGGATGTAATGGATAATTTATACAACAGGTAGGACACTTAAACATCTAGTACTTAGATAGAGATATTATTTATTTTCTGGAGCTTTCAAGCCAGCAAGAGTGTTATTGTCCCTTTAAAACAAATGCAATTATCAATTTATTAAAACAACACTTTATTATTGGTCCGAGTCGTCTTTCTGTTGGGTCCGAATAGTCTTTTTGTATGGTCCAGGTAGTATTTTTGTTTGGGCTGAGTGGTCTATCAGTTGGTCCGACTGGTCTTGAACCGAGTGGTCTTTGGTCCGAGTGGTCATGGATTCTTGTCGTAATTGTACTTGAATTTCCTATGCTGTCACCCCTAATACGAAATGATATCTTCCGCAGAGTGACGTAACCATCTTCCATATTGGTATTTTTCTCTGGGAAAAGTTTGTGATATTTCAATTTTTCAAGAGAGAACTTGTTTTCATCGTTGTGATAATTAGTTGTGCAATGGATTTTATCGAACGGGAGTTCATTACAAACACACAGGTAAGTTTATAATAACCAAAGTTAAGTAGTTTGTTCATAATCGAAGAAATCCGTTTAAAATTTACCAAGACTCAGACAGTAGTATAAATTAATCCATTGGCATTTTCTACACTACAAACTTACAATTCCAACTCGTCTGTCAGTGGATGTCAATACCTCGCGAAGTTCATGAATTGATATGTGCGGAAATTAGCAAATGTACCTTGCTTATCAAAAAAGTTAAAATCCAATCTTTTGTACTGGTCTCGAAGTGTCACCATATTCCTATGCAATTGGTATTTTTCCTTTTGTTTGGCATAATTCGACTCATCTGCATGGCTTTAATTTCTTGTTCTGTGAAGGATCGGGCTTCTAAATCTTCGCGATCATTGAAATCTCTTGCAGAACTGATATTATCGGTCTTAGAAATATATATCTGTGACATTATAAAGTAGGATTCTTCGACGAATTCCCGCATTCATTTCTGCCATCCACTACAATCGACGCAGCCAGGATGTTGGCAAAACAACAAGAAATGGCTATTGGACAAAATGAGTGGATGACGTTTGCTTTTCTCAACCAATCAATATCCCTGTTATGAACATTTTCCCTGACCGGATTTAAACCGTGAAATGCACGTGCGGTTTACTGACATCATTTACCTGAGTAGAAATAAGCGTTTGCGATGAGATAATCGGGGGGCTCTAAATGAGAAACTTTGATAAATTTGTGAAATGAAAAAAGCTTTTGAAATTGGGAAAAATAGAAAAAATCCCTATTTCTCGAAAAAGTATTTAGTATAAGTCAGTTATATACCTTGTTTTCTCGGTGTATGGGTTGATACACCGTCTCTTTTTTGAGTGGAGATCTCCTCGGCTTCGCCTCGGAACCCCACTCAAAAAAGAGACAGTGACGAGTGTATCAACCCATACACCTTGAAAACAAGGTATATAACTATTACTTAATTACTAAAAATAGACCGTAATGAACCCCATAAATGGTGTAATACTACTTAAACAAGAACGGGAGTATTTTTTCCTTAAAATATATGCCTAATATAACAATATGGCAAATCTTGTGATATTACAATCGTTATTCTAACGAATTAACGAATTTGCATTCTAAATGTTTAAATGAACAATTTAAAATCTAACAATTATTGAACCCCAAAAGTATCATGACTTTAAAACAAGAACAGCATCAATGCAGAATTCCTATTATTCCACCTTAAATGTACAGCTTGTTTCAATGATTAGCTTAATCTCTGTTTGAAAATGTATATCATTAAATTTTGCACAATAACTCTGCCTAAGCATGTACATTCCTTAGTGAGAATGGCATAAATTGATTCAGTCTTGTTGATAAAAATTTAGATGGAACTCGACTACTGACAAAGTTAATGACAATGTACCAGTCCCAAAATGAAATGTATAGATGAGATTTGCACATTTTTAATGTTTATGCAACACAGCCGCATATTTAGAGACAAAATGAACTGAGGATAATTTTACAAATGTACCAAATTGTTGATGGACAAATTAAATGACCAAAAGATTTTTCCATTAAAGTAAACGGACATCTTATCAAAAGTACAATAAGAAGATCAAGTTTAATTAAGAAGATTCATTAAAAAGATTTCTTGCAGTGTGTTTAAAGTCTCATTTACAAAGTATCGCCCATAAAAGGGTTGTGGCTCGGTCCCTTATCACCTATTTTATACACACTATGTGCTGGTGTATAAAAACAAACCATAAACTCAATAGGCCTATCCCTAAAGTTTGCATGCATGAACATTATTGCATCCTAGGTTACAACGATACATATCGCAGTATTTCTTCTTGGACGTGTTTCCAGCTCTGTAGCCACTGCTTTTCCATCTGACGTTTTTGATTCAAAATGTTCCTATATCCGTAACTTGTGGTTCGTCGGAGGGGAATGTACTTTCAGTTTCATTGCCGAAAGCCATCTTTTCTCTTTGTCACATGAACTACAGGGGAGTATTCTGCATCGGATGAAAACGGACAGTTAAAATATCTGTACCATGTTAACCAAACCGTGGTCCAGAATTTAAAGCACCTTGAACCAAAATGTGGCATCTATACCGTTGTATACCGTCTCACAGTACGGGTATATAGTGTTGCTATTGTTGTAACTGTACTTCATCCATTCAAAGTTTGACAGTTTGTGATTAGTTACATCACTTTTTGGCACACTCAAGTCTTCCTCTTTTTCATGATTTCTGTTGGTTATCTGGGTTTATTTAAAAAATGCACCTGCAAAACAAATATTCTCAATCAGCTTTTTTCTTATGACATCATTTCAAAAGAACACATTTTAATTAAGGAAAAGGGAGCTAAATGTGCGAGAAAATGAAGTTTCATGTCCACAAACAACATATCACACAGGAGAATACTACCAGTAGTGTAGACTGGAATAACCAGACTGCCATTCAATTACTCTAAAAACAGAAACGACTGAATGTAAATCAGTTTATAGACATACATAATAGATTATTATCTTTGCGACCCATTTGCAGAGGCGTAACTACCGGGGGGGGGGGGGTGGGTATGGGGGGGTATGTACCCCCCCCCCCACTATTTTGCATTCAGTCGGTAAATTCTCGTGTTTGTCGGTAAATTGAAACTGTCAGTCGGTAAATTTAAAAAGTTATATAGCAAATGTTTTTATCATGATTTACCGACCAGATTCTTCGGTATTACACTGTTTCGTTACAGAAATTTCGAAACCGTCAGTCGGTAAATTTCAAGAGTTATATAGCAAATATTTGTATCATGATTTACCGACCAGATTCTTCGGTATTACAGTGTTCTATAATTCTATTACAGAAATTTCGAAACCGTCAGTCGGTAAATTTCAAGAGTTATATAGCAAATATTTGTATCATGATTTACCGACCAGATTCTTCGGTATTACACTGTTTCGTTACAGAAATTTCGAAACCGTCAGTCGGTAAATTTCAAGAGTTATATAGCAAATATTTGAATCATGATTTATTTTGACATTATATCAGGGGTGAAAGTCATTCAACAAACCGCAGATTCGATGAAACGTATGAGATCAGATGAAGCGAGTATGGATAGCACCATTGATGTTGCTATCGACATGTGTCAGCGTTTAGGTGTCAACTGTGATTATGAATTTAACAAGAAGCATCGTATGCGCAGAACACCCCTTCGAATTGATGGTAACGCAGATACTCTTCTGCAATTGGACATGAAAGCTTTCTACCGAAAAGACATGCGGGCTGTTCTCGACAGGCTTTATCGTGAATTCAATGATGTGGCCGAGTCCGTAGGTAGTCTAATTGCCCCATTTCAGTGTTTGTTACCTGATAACATATGTGATGCAACCGACTCTGATTTGAAGAAACTCACAAATATATATAGAATTGATCTTCAATTGGACGATTTGTCCTCAGAAGTGGATTTGGTTTCCCGCGATATTAAAGACACGAGTGAGTCCAATGACCTGCGATGTGCGGCTAGGACTCTGAGGGGCAAGTGGGCACAGTATCCCAATTTGTGCAAAGCCTATCAACTGTCGCTAACAATCCCCGTTTCCGTAGCTTCGAACGAGCGATCATTTAGTCGTTTGAAACTTGTCAAAACCTATCTTCGCTCCACGATGTCCGAATATCGCTTGGACAACTTAATGATCATTACTTGTGAGAGCGATGTCACAGACAAAATGAATTTGGACCAACTTGCTGATAAGTGGTCAAAATTGAAACAAAGACGGCTATCACTGTGATCAGAATATAAGTTGTGTCTAAGTATTTTTGGTTGTAGCCTATACGCCATATATGGAATCAGGAATGTTTTCCTGGGGGACCAGGGGGGGGGGGGGGCTCCTATTTCCAAATTCCCCAAAACACCCCTGTATGGAACTGCTCTGAATTCTAAATAAATCTTATATGAATTAGAATCCTTGAAAGTGTAGTCATTATATCTAACCCGCTTTTAAAAAGCTATGTAAAATAGCACATTTTTTCTATTGATCGACCCGTCGGTAAAATCGGCATTTGGATACCCCCCCAGAAATTTATCCCTAGTTACGGCACTGCCCATTTGTGTTCATTTCTCGGGGCCAAAGAATACAGATTTAGCTCCTTTAAGTTAGGTTGAACTTTTCTGATCATATTGGTAGTAGCTGTAACTAACGTAACCCCCATCGCTTTCCGGGTTAAAACCCATGCTTTTTTTTTTTATCGTTACCGCATCTTGGGTTTTTGATCAGATTTCTGGACTAACCAGTGGCGACTCTGCACCTATGACAGGTAAAAGCAGACTAAAATGGGATTTACCTGTTGCTAATAAGACCTACCACAAGGTTCAAGCTGGAAGAGAGAAATGGGATTTAACATCCACACAACACGAACTAGGTCATTTTTGGACTAATATAAACACAGAATTTTATTTCAATAATTCGCTTTAACCGTAGGTCTTCAAAAACAGTGGGAGGAAAACGAAAGACCGAGAAAAAATGAACACAGTTAGTCAGGCGATCTTACTCCTTTCAACGCCACTTGACTCAAAGACATAGGCTACATTCCGACGTAACTAAGGCCCATGTTAGACCATGGACCTTATACTTATATAAGCTCCATGGTTAGACCATTCGTCCAACCACCCCCTCAAATTTCAAGGTCCAAGCAGAGGACAGGAAGTGTTAGTTTTCATTGACAATGCGCTCAATTCCCAAAATTATTATCTTCATAAAGTTCAATCTTATAATTTTTCTTTACCGGTAGGGCCTACCTTTGAAAAAATTTCATTAACCCAGAGAAAGGCTGGGTAGCCCACTATATAGATGACAGGAATGGCACTCAAAGATGCAATAAGCTGTGCCTAAAAAAAATTAGTAAAATTAAAAATTAAAGATCAGTATCCAGACATTGCATTGACATTCCATCAATAAATTCTTAATAATGGTTTTCAGTGGTAGCCTAGCCTACACACAGACTATGAGTATGAAGCCCTGAAATGTTAGCCCTTCTTACTAGTTCATATATTTTTTTCTGAGTTTGAATGAGTTATTATTATGTCATCCGAGTAGCCTCAACTAGAACTGAAGCCTCCAAAAACAATGCGAAAAAATATTAGGCCTAGCACTAACACCACAGAGTGTATTTTTACTCTGTGCTAACACTAACACTGTGACAGTGTATGTGAGTATATGTCCATTTGTCTAGGCTAGAACTAGCCTACTAGAAGTAGAAGAGTCTACTATTACTATTTCATGAATCAGTTACCGTACATTTTTACGAATGCTAAGAATCAATCTGTGTCAAACAAAGATGTGTGCCTACTTGTATAAACATTACTTCCCTAAAACTGCATTTTGGTATTGACTGTAGTGTTCAACTATTGTGCTCAATGTTGAGGGATTCTTCTTTGCCGCTAACTAACGGTCTTCGCAGTAATGGCGCCCAGGAAAACCGATGACGTCACTTTAATTTAAACACCCGTATGTCATATTTACGGAAGAAATTCTGTATTTCCCAAATATTTACAGACTTATGTCTGTTATCAGGATAACAGAACTGCGCTGTGGGCGTTTTACAGAAACCGGTCTGTAAAAATTACAGAAAAGGCTTACAGTGAACTGAGCCCATATCTGTACTGAATGTTCCGATAAGGGCAAGCATGTATGGTCGAGAGTTCACATATCATTCACTTAAGGATTTACTCAACTTTTAATCACTGTTTATGAGAAATATCTTTGATCCAGAAACAACCAAATTCGCACATAGTTTCTTATTGGTGTATTTGATACATTAAAACAACAAAAATGCTATATTGAAGTTAAAATATAGCTGTAGTTATAGATTTAACCGAAGTTTTTTCGTTGTTTATCTTAAAAGGGAGGGGGAGCCGGGGCTTATGTCGACACATGCAACTGACTGCTGCAGCTAGTTGCTATGAGTTGCAAAGTGCCCCTTTATATATAAAAGAAAATAACAAATCCTGCCAATGTTTTATCTATGAAAAGACTTTCAGTTCGAATTGTTGTTCGAAATGTTCAAGCCATTTATGAGTTTCGGTTTGATATGCTAATTTTCCGACAATTTAATTCCAAATTTTCTTTATTCCAAAGAAACACGCACTTACCTTAATATAGATATCGCCGTGGTCAGCTGTTATCTTGTCCTGTTCAGTTTATGTTAAATTGTGAGACGCAGTTTGTTGAACTAGTTTATGTAAAATCGAAACTAAGGAAATCCTGTGCTATACAGTTTATGTTAAATTGTGAGACGCAGTTTATTGAACTAGTTTATTTAAAATCGAAACTAAGGAAATATTGGATACAATAGCAATGTATACCTTCATATTACATGTATTAATATCTATAATATCTATAAAAATCAAAATTATATAAGTGTAGGACACAAACAATATGTATCTGCTAACACATCTCATAATCTTAGAGAGTTGATCGAACATCTTTCAAAAGACTAGAGTACATAATAATGTATTTTCTGGAGAATGTCTTGTTTAGTAATTATTTTTATAAAATATTTCTGTATTCCATCCCTTTAAATTATTTAATACAACTACGTGGTAACCAACATCTGTCGTTTCTCGGTCGTTTCTCCAGAAAGTGTCGTTTCTCCAAAATCTGTCATTTCCTCGAAATTGTTAGTTGTTCTATGATCGCTTTTAAATGTCTATGATGGGTCGGTCAGTCGATAACAAGACAAAGAAGGAAATGGGGTTTAACGTCCACTCAATTTAGGTAATTTTGGAACTAACATTTGGTTCAATTGGTTAGCTGTTATTCTTTATTCATAAATAACAAATAACGAGATGCCTAGCCTAGTTATTGGCGAAAACAGAGTGACATGCTGCCTCGTTAGTCGTTATTCAACTTGTTATTCGGGATTCAATAATGAAGCTAGACATCACTAGAGTGATATAATGCCAAGTAACTCAGTAGCATAAAATACGGAAAAACGACTTAAGCCGATCAACAACCCACATTGTTATTCAAGCGGTGATTAATGAACTGTTCGTTATTCACCTTAATACTCGAGATTTAAAATTGAAGATGTTTAATGCAGTTGTTTTACGATTTAATAACAAACTACAGCTAGACAACATTCGAATGATGAATGTCAATCGGAAAAACCCCAAATTGTTGTTCAAGCGGTCTATAACGAATAACGAGATCCTTTTGCCGAAAAACTACCAAGGTTGTTATTCAAGCAGCGAGGCGAATAACGCGCTTTATCCCGTTATTCGGGATTCCCTTATGAAGGTGTTCGGGTATAATTTATGAGGATATTTTAGGATGTAATTTTAAACGATAACTACACAACAATAGAATAATGGATTGCCAAGTATCCTAAAACAGGTTAAATGACGCATAGACGATCACAACCCAGATCGTTATTCAAGCGGTGAATAATGAGATGGCTCGCCTAGTAATTGGACAAAAACGAGTAACAGAAAGTGAGTTTTAAACACATTGAGCAAAGCCGACGATGACGAAGGATGTTTACACTTGAATGTAAACATTGGCCGCCCCGCCCCCATCTCTCCCACGATCGGCAGGCCCTGAGCTTCAGTCTGCAAAGACAATGGTTTGATCCGGCATGACTGGGTCGATTTTTAGTGCCGATCACGAAGTTTACTATGCATACATTAATTCGTTCATACGTCTAATATAAAATAATGTTTTAAAATGTTATGTATGTAGGTTTAAATTAGTTTGGTGTTTACTGTCATCTGTAGCAGGTGAAATATACATGTATTCAGACAATCAGTTTAGTCATTCGTCGAGATATCGAGGCATTAACTTGTTAGGGCTGGAAAGAAAAGTCTACCTGGTTAACCCTCGTACATACCCAAGTCCACCTTAAAATAGAAATGAAATGGGGTTTAACGTCCTACTGTTCTGCTCCTATACTGGGCTAATGAAGACGGGACGTTAAAATAGAACCGTTGACTGACAGTTGGAAATCAACCACACATAGGCGGAACACCACTGTCTGAGTAAAAATCCATTACGTCACCATATACACATAGTAACCATAGAATTATCAAAGTACGATCAACATGGCCGAAATATTATGATAACGAGACTTGGTTGATAAGAGAGAGAGAGAGAGAGAGAGAGACAGGAAAATGGGGTTTAACGTCCACTCGACACAAACAAGGTCATTTGGGAACTTACATAATGGTTAAATTTTATTTCATTATAAATTCATAACGGTAAATCTCTTTGATCTGTGGTGGTATATGCCCGGAATAACATGCGGTCTGAATATATAGAGAGGAATTTGGGGATTCTTCTGAAACTTTTTCTTTAAACCTGTATCGGGTTATTCTTCAAGCGTAAGTTTTTTTCCATAAGAAAACGTGATATAAGTTTTTTCTTACTGGAATTCTGGGATTATAGACGGTTTATAAGCAAGATAAAGTCCTCGACTTCGGTTATGCTGGGGTAGAAAGACTTCAGAAAAAGCCCTCGAAAGTAAAAACTCGGCCTACCCGCCTCGGTTTTTCTTTTTCTCGGGTTATTTTCTTCAGTATTTCTTTCCCCAGCATAACCTCGGTCTCGTGCTTTATCCTGCACATAATTTGCTAGTTCGTAGGTGAGGAAACTGGGGGACACGCAGAAAACACACAAGGTTAGAAAGGCAACCTTACTCTGTGTCACGTACAAGCGGAGAATGGAAACCACGCCAGTTGACTCAATGATAGACGTTATAACCACTGGCCCAGCCAACCCCGATTCCTGGTCGATAAAGTTCGTGCTGCAATCCACGCTACTAACCATGCCCCCACCCCACCCCTCGCCTTCTTGGTTGATAAAGTTCGTGCTGTAATCCACGCTACCACCCTATATATAATACTAGTAATTTCACTGGAGACGTTGAAAGACTGGATAATAAAGCCTGATTTACTGGATGATAAAGTCTGATTTACCGCGACCAGTAGAAAGACACGTGGTGTGTTCAAGTAGATAACAGTATATAATATATTAACACGTGTATATAATAACTTACATATAGTTTTATTAGTTTATCCCTTTATCTTCACATTTTCTTTCATTTTATTATGTAGTTTTTCTGATTAAATATGTTTCTTAATAAAAAGTGAATAGTCGTTGACAGAAATATCCTACATTATAAAATTAGTGACATATGCTATTGGTATTCTTCTTCTTCTTCTCCAGCAGCCAAGGTTGCCAAGTGAATCAAAGCAAGTTCATAGGGGTTTTCCGACGTGATTCCCCCTTGTCAGTTGTGCATGCCGAAGGACGAAAAACCAAGGTTCCGTGTATACATTGGAGTGGGCCATAGTGTCGCTGTCCGGGCAATATTTGCCTCATAGCACACTTTATGGCGTATTCCCGTCTTCATTAGCACAGTCGGAGCAGAACAGTAGGACTTACCTTCCTTCTTGGGGGGGCGACGCTTTTTTTAAAAAAAAAAAAAAATCCCAAGTCTCTACCAATATAATGAATAATTAGATAGAGATCAAAAGAAGAAAAGGGCACGAACAGCTCACGGATATGTGCTTATGGCTATATGGGATCTTTCGGCCTACATTATATACACGTGCTTACGACTACGCGTGACTTTTAACCGAAAAGTGGTACCCCATAGAAACATGAAATGGGATGGGCACTTCAATTTTTCGTCCGATCTGAACGACTAGACACTATAACGTTCTTCTGTGCCCGGTCCTCCACCACTAACATTGGGGAAAAAATCAGAACATCCTAAAGAATGTTAGCTAGTCAGTGCCCTGCTCCCTGGAAGTAAAATAGCTCGTTTACTAAATTTAATCCAGCACTAATAGTAAGTGCAGGCGTTCCAGGAGACACGCAAAACAAAACCTATAAGACAAACCTGTGGATAAGACAAACAACATAGACATAAACAAGAAATAAACAACCAATATCAATCAAGGCAATGGATCCGGGGGCCCAGCTGTACTGTACCGGCGCTGTAAATCGGTACGATTCGTAGTTTTTAATTTGTCTCCACTTTATCTAAATTTCCATTTTATTGAAAAATCTCTTGTTTCCAAAACGGATATCTTGCTCCGTTCACAGACCAGTAAATCTCTTTTTCTTCAAAAATGCAAAACGGAATCCATGAAACGTACTTTTCATTATTCTGCATGTCTTTTATGGAACAATCTGCCTTTTGATATAAAGATGTGTAAAAATGTTGAAAATTTTAAGATTAAACTGAAAACTCATTTATTTTGCACACTGAAGGAACCATAATATTCAACTGATGACATACTTATTATTTTTAACTTGCAACTGCATTCTATTTTATTTTGTGTGTAATTATAGTGTTCTTCCTATATTCTACTTGTATAATGTATATGTTTTGTAGTTTGGGAGTGACTTATCAAACTTCCCACTTTAAAATGCTATTGCATTTCTAATGATTTTAAATTTATCCTGATATTACATGTATATATGTCTTTATAGTTTAGGAGGGACCTATGGAAGATTAGGTTTTTTTTTTGCAAACTAAATACGTTGCCTCATTAAATAAAGTTTTTATTATTATTATTATTATTATTATTTTCCGGATATCACCATTAATGTGGAGAAAACACGCACAAATATCAAGAAGAACATCCTCGGCCAACATTGGGATTAAACCCATGGCCCCTGGTTATCTGTGAGCACCTTACTCACTTAGACACCGCTCGTTCACGAAAAACCGAGGTCTCGTGTATACATTGGCGTGCACGTAAAAGATCCCTTGACAGTTGGAATTCAACATAAGAGTAGGCCATAGTACCGCTGCCCGGGCAGAATTTCCTAGATAACACACTGTGTGGCGTATGTCAGTCTTTATTAGCTCATTTGGAGCAAAACAGTAAGCCGTTAAATGCTAAGAAGGTATATACGGTTCATACTTTTTATTTTGTGGGAGTTGTTTTACGGAGGATGCAGCATTTAAACTAATTCACTGATCGTTGATGGTTGACGTCTGTTTCCTCGGAGGTTTATATTTGTTAGAGTTGTTTTCAGGATAGCACCGTTTGAACTAATTGTCTAACTGACTGGTTGACAGTTAAGGCTGCTTTCACGCTAGTAATATCGCAGAGAGACAACCTTTTCAATTAGTCGTACTTTTTACCAACTGCCATGTAATTTGTTTATGTTGATCATCGTTAGTGATGTGATTAGAGGTCAG